ACAATTGTTAATTTGTCAATGCTATTTCCTGTTAAAGGTCTGTAAATCTATAAATGTATTTTTTTTTAAAGTATTTTTTGGGATGCAAGGATGTAAAAACTAAACAAATTTACAGTCTTAAAGCACTCTGTATTTTCCACTTACTGTTTAATACTACTAGCCATATGTTTATTTTTATGGCTTCCATTTTTCCTGCTTCTTGCTCTCACTGTGTATGTTTGTACTGTGTACGTGCGCGCGCGTGTGTGTGTGTGTGTATATATATATCCTGTATATATTATTTTTTGTTGAAGTGTATGTCTGAATGAAGCTAAATAATAAAAACATAGCATATCTTTGCAATGTTCGCACACTTACTAAATTGTTTTATCCCTGTGCAAGTCTGCCAGACATGCAGTCAGCTCCAAACTAATTATAGTGAGTTTACAATGCTCCCCTGCTGGATTAGAACACTTCCTCCTCTCCTTATCTCCATAACAAAAGAGAAGGTGTTCTGTAGTCCAGCAGGGGAGGGTTGACAACACTGATTTAGATGTCAGTGCAGCAATGGCACTGTGCTGTCAATTCAAACAGGATGTTGGGAGCTAACCAGGTCCTGGCAGGATCAGCAGGTATTTTTCTGTACTCGTGGTGTTTATAAAGGGATAAATGTGCATGTATTACAAACTTTTTTTTTTGTCCAGACATACTTTAAAGCTATGGCTGGCCAGATCTCCCTACTGGAGTCCCCAGACCTTATAGAGAACCCAAAGGTGATAGAATTCACTCAAAAATTAGTTGGCAGCTATGGATAGACTTGCACATTGCATTGCGGCTGTCACTTTTTTTCTTTTTGTGGAAAAGGTTGGAAGAAAATGTGGGCTGTTGTGACTTAAGAAAACAGCAGGATAATTGATCAGGTTCAGCTCTCAGGAGTTTTGCTGGATTTGTCTGAACAGATTAAGCTTGCCAAGGTGTTTTAAAAGTGCACATATTCTTTATTGAGCTGTCTTCTCACCACCATCAACATCAAGTGCTTGCTCACATAATGTGATTGTTAGAGTGTGTTTTTCCCATATTATATGTTTTTAACAACAATGCATTCCTTATTTGAATGCTGAATCTCATCTGCTGAATAACTGTTGGGTGACGTATATCTTTTGCATGTCGATTGGGCACGAGTTGACAGTAATTAGCAGTTTGTAGCCATTTTAATTATATTTCTAATAAAGTGGTCTCTGAACACAGCATTTGTGCAAATGGAACTGAAGTACTTTGGCTGCTGTTGAAGTTGGTAAGTCCTACTCAGTGGAGATAAACAACAAGCATCTGTTATTGTATCCCTTTCCAGCTTGGCTTTTACCATTTAAATACATCAATCCCCAGTCAAGGTTATGTAAAGTGAGGTTCACTGGCCATGATGTGTACACAGGAGATGAAACACAAAACACAACCTAAGATAATCCAACAAAATATTACTCACAACAGCTGCTCCAATTTATTTACCCTCCAGAAGACCTACAAAATAGTTTCAATACAATATTTCATAATAGATTTTGTGTAAGTGGTTCCATTTGCTGCTATTACAGGGTCTAAAGTATATTTTATTCCCTAAAGAGAATAGCCTTCCTAGCGATGGCTAAGAAGGCATTCTGATATTTTTAACAGCTCACCCCATCTCAAACTGATGTAGTTTTTGGTAGATACTGGTATGATGAATAACCCATTGGGTTCTTTATCTTTTGTGGACTCCAGTTCAGTCTTCAACTAAAAGCTCCTGACATAATTTCTGCACCTCCTAGTCAAACGTCTGCTGCCACATGTGTAGTCTCTCCTGTAGTGGCTTTCTTCATTGTGCAAAACACCTGCAGAATGACCTGACATGCCTATGCACATTCCGTCTTTTTGGATGTCAGAGCACAGCCATGTGCTATTAAACGCTGTTTGCTTTTGTATGCATATGTTGGTAGGGCTGCAACAACTAATCGACATAATCGATTATAATCGATTATTGAAAAAGTTGTCAACTTTTTCAATAATCGATTAATCGGCTTCTGATTGGTTGGCCCTGTTCACGGCTCCACACACGCTGCGCGCCACACCTCCTCCCCACCTCACGTTCGCCGCTGCCAGACCTGCCCGCATCCACGCTCCGCACCTCCTCCGTGCCTCACACTCACCGCCTGCCCAAATCCACCATCTGCACAGGGACGCGGGGAGAAAAAGTAAGGAGGAGCAGGTGTGGGCGGATGACAGCCGCCGATAGACAGGCCTGATCTCAGAAGCATGGTTTTAGGGCCAGTTCACGCCAGCTCCGGTGCATTCCTGCTGCAAGCACTTTTTTTTCAGATCGCATCGGACCGGAACGCAGGCATTATTTTGCCACGCGTTCTGGTGTGGGTGATTGCACTGAGGGCGGGGGTATGGCTGCGGTGCCACTGACTTCAATGCGCATCCCTTCCAGCCCCTGAACGCAGGCAGTCCGCCGTGGTGCGTTCCAGCAGTGAATCGTGCTAGGATGCACCGGAGCTGGTGTGACAGAGTCTGTTTTTTTTTTTTGTTTTTTTTTTAATGACCAAATGTTTACTTTGAAATCAACATTGTGAAGCTTAAATAATATTAACAGGCAGTTCTGGATGGATAGTTTGACACAAATAAATGTGTTTTTATCATTTCAGCTATCACAGTTTAAGTAAACGATACATTTTTAATTTATAACGAAACATAAACAGTATTTTTAGAGCTTATTTACTAACAGGTCTTTAAGTGGTGTGGTGGGGATGGCAGGGGGATATTGGTCCCTTTAATCACAACTCCATTCCATCAAAGCCATTAATCCATATATTTTACTGATATGTGATTGATTTATAACAGCTGTGTGCAGATTATGTTTCTATATGTTCTTCTAGTAAATTAATTAAATTAATTAAAAGGTCATCTGTGCCCAAAGTAGGTGTTTAGCTTGTAGGTGTTCTAGTTTTTAATGGCCACTGGGGAATTGAATCTCCTGCTGACCTTCTACTTTTGCCAGGGGCATTATTGTGATTTCCTTACGGTAGTTTGTAGCTCCATCTGTGTATACAGATACAGTGGTACGTCGTTTCACAAACTTAATTCATCCCACCAGTCTGGTCGCGAACCGAATCAAATACTGTATGTGCTAAAAAGCACGCAAAAAAACTTCACAGCAAGTGTGCACTGTGGGGAAGATGGTCGCGGTCATGTTCGTCACTCGATGCGGAGTTGGCTAACGGAAGCAAAATTTTGCTGAACTTCCTGTTCGCAAACTGGATTGTTCGCGAACAGAAGCGTTCGTGAACCGAGGTATTACTGTACATGGTAGATACATAATAAAGGTGTCACTGTCTTGCAGCTGGATTCCTCTGTTTAATCCGTCACAACAATGTGACACCGTCATTTAGCTTTGCATTATATAAATCTGGTTGGATTATCTCATTACAGGAGTTTGAGCGAGATAAATCAATAGTATAAAAACTGTTGTACTTTAATTCGCTAGCAATTGCGCAAAACAAACAAAAAATCATTTTTGGGCTAAGTTGATCATGACATAATTACCATAAAACGCGATTCATTCCTATCTTTCTTATAAAGGCACCCTGAGAAATTGCAGTCTATCATTCCGACTAACAAAACTGCATTCCCTTAAAACAGCCAGTTTTGAGTAGTGTAATTTTCTAACTTTAAAATAAATTCATTAAGCTGTTGAGTTTGTTTAAATTGAATATTTGTGTATGGGAATGTGTAAAAACAACCCCTTTAGCAAATTAGCCCTTTACTTTCTATCTCATGACATTAAACAAAACGTTTGAGGAACAAAATGGAGGTTGCTATTGCTGACCCTCTAAATGCTGGATGCCTGGTTGTCATGCTAATTTTCTGTCTTTATTACTTTGATTCGCTGATCTAGAACTAACATGCAGCACATAAAGGCAGAGCATAGTTATAACACCTTATTGACAACATTGTTATGGTCAGTATTAGAGTATTGCAGGCAGGGATCAGTATCAAAGCCAGGAAATTAGCATTTTGAAAAGGCAGTCCCCATGTACTTCTCTTAGAAGTGAGTAGAGAAAAACATGCTTTAGGTATACTGTAGTATTGGTAAACCCTGTATAATAGTATAGTATTAAAACACGGAAATATGTGTGCGTCCAGAACACAAGGTTTTGGTGGACTGTCCTCCCCAGCTGTATGTTGTATGACTCACTTTGATCATAATGATCAGCTTGTTATTAGGCATGCTATTTTATAAGCGAATGCTGCATTTTGATATGTGTAAATTAAAGTGTAACTTTAGGATAATCTCTCTATATCTCTATATCTCTATATATCTATATATCTATATTCCAGACTGTCACTACCATAAAAAAATGTATGTTTTTCTGAGTCTCCTGTGTAACACAGTTGTATTACCTGTTGATCCTGCCAGTAGAAGTGTTATTTCTCTGCTGTAACATGCCAAGCTGTCCAGCAAAAGGGACATTTGCATTTACTTGGGAGTCCCTGTCTCACTTGGTAAATGGTCAGAGCAGGTGTTAATCAACCTGCAAGTGGGCTTTGACTGCAGCAGATTGGATGAAACCACAGGGAGACCACTGTTCTACAGAATCAGATGCTCATGGTCACCATTTTAAAAAAGATCTCAGAGCAGAAACTGGCAGGGCCAACTGGTATTTTTGAAACATTTACTTTCCACTTTAAAAAAAACAGTGCACAACTACATTTACAAAGCAAAATGGGAGCTATTTACTGTATGTAACTTCGGTATTTGGGTTTACATGCACTTAAGGGACTTTCCCATTATTTTTATATAGTCATTTACAGCTTAACATTTTTATGCAGCATTGTTAAAATATCATTACATTTATTATAGCTGTACTGTGAATTTAGATATATAACCCCATTGCTTTTATTTTACGTATTGCTGCTTGATTGTGTGTTGTTTTACGTTGCGAGTCAGTTTAAATCAGGTTGTTGCTTTTTTCTTTTATGCACATTAGAAACTGTCTTCAGACCTTACTAAATGTCAGCAGGAAAAAGAAAATTTGGAGAGAAACCTGGAGCAGATGACTGAACAGCTGGCCCAAGCCAAGAGGTCACTAGAAATGGTGAGCCCTGTGACCTTGGATCAACCTACATTGACTCAATTAACACCATCTAAAAGCACAGATGTGGAAGTGAAGCAGCTCCAAAGTAAACTAAAGGTAAGAATAGGGATTTAGTTACTCAAGAAACAGTTTTTATGCCAGGCTTTGCAAACTCTAAAAGGTCCAACTGCATGACATAATCAAATAAAAGAGTGACTTGTAGGTCCTAAAATGTGTGTTGAGGTGCATGGTAACTGTCTCATGCTTTCCATGCATTTGTTCCCCAATGACAGAAAATTGAATTATTTGTTGCCTCACGTATAAAACTACCTGAAAAGAAAGTGTTTTGCATGATAACTAATCAGATACTACCTGTCATTTTTCACTGTGGGATAGAAAATAAAAGAGTTTTAAAGATTGCCAATTCTATCAGACTTACGGTACTTTTTAGACACTTCTCAGACACCATTTATGTATAAAGAGACTTGAGGGCTGGAGTGTTCAAATTAGTTTGCACATATTTCTCCCCTTAGCTATGATCACATAAGCCATAGGCAGGTTCTTCGGTTTTAGAGAGAACTCATTTGTTAAGGGAAAAAATGTTGCATTGTAGATAAAGTGCAGAGGAAAAAGTCAAGGAGACAACATTCCTATAGTAGATGTGAACTCTTGCCTTTATGAAGCAGTTCGTGATCAGAGAGCTGGAGACCATGGTAGCAAAGCTAGGACATGAAGCTCAGAATGGAGGGTGTGCAGGTTTTCAGTACTCGTGTTAAACAGGCTCCTATACAAACTATGATCTCAAGTCCTGCATTTTCTAAAGGAGTTGTTCACTGACTCTGCTAACCAGGACCAAAGGCTTTGTAGAACAGCTGACAACAATAGAAAAGAACGCCTATGTGAATGGAGAAATTGGACAGCGGCTCATACATGTGGTTGGGTCATTAGTAAGGGTAAAGTTTTGATCTAGTGGGTTTTTTTTCCCTTCTTTTCTTACTGCTAAAGCTTTCAGGTTTCGGATTCTTTCAAGTCTAGTTTTGATCTCAAGTTGGCTCATTGATTGTTCCAACACACATGTTCTCTGTTACTTTTGTCCCTTTAAACATCTGTTCTCGTTATTATTAAAGCATACCCTGTCTTTTAATGTCTTTTTCTGAATTGTACCAAATTGCCCCAGCAGTGTAGTTGACTACATGTCTGACTGCTGCAGATCATTAATTCATGTAATTATCATAGATGTTTTAAAAGTCACAGTGCAAAGGCAATTCACTTGTCACTGTTACAGTGCAACATTTTAGATTTTTAAATCTTTATTAGAAAATGATTCTGGTACAAGAGAAGCATTATCAAAAGGCTTAAGTGGAGATTTGAACTTTTCTCTCATATTTCAATGTACAACTAATTTAGAAACAGAATTACACACGTCGGGATTGTCCATTGCAATAGCAAATAAATGTTCAGGATTTCTTTGTAAAAAATATTTTATCTGTTGCCATCTCTAGAATTATCTTGTTTTTATACATTTTAGACTTAGGAATAGGTAAATTAACAGGCTTAGAAAATATATCATTATTAAACGTCTGTAAAAATGAATGGAAGATGGGAAAAAAAAGAACATATGCAGTATTCTTGCTTACAGTCTAACAGTACATACCTGCGAGAGGATCCACAAACCTACAAAGTGACAGAAGAACTGTTTAAACTATTGACAACCGGTTTCTTGTCCATTTAAAATACAGGAGTGTCAACATGAGAAGGGGATTTTTTTAATTAACACAGTCCATTTATCGGCCCCAGAATCTCTTTTCCCTGTTTTTCTTACCTGAGATCTTCTGATGGGTTAACAAAAATATTGTCTTTGGGTCACCTAAACATGCGAGCCAGCTTAAACTAATATTGGAAATACGTCTACCATTGGCTTATGAGATTGGAAGAACATTTATCAGCTAATAAATTCTTGCCAATGTGAGTTCATTGCAACCTTCATATAATTCTGTATCCTGACTCTCCATCCTCAATATAGTTAGTCTACAGGTGTTGGAACACATTTTGTCTGATTTAGGGCATTGATAACTACGCTATTATTATTATTATTATTATTATTATTATTATTATTATTTAAAGGTTGTTATGGGCCAACACTTAAAGTAGAACTAAGGCCAGGCTATAGAAATTCAAATGTTCATATATTCTTAACAATTAAAAATCAGGTAGCAATGACCTCTCCAGCTGCAGGCACTGTGGAGCAAGTTCACAAGAGAAGCACATTCAAGCTGGATCTTGGCACCCTACTCTCCCCTACAGCCATGAGCTTTAAAAAAAAAAAAACATCAGCAGTCTCCTGGCTTTTATGTAGAATTGATCAGGGTGGCAGTAATTACTTATATGGGGAGGACGTTTCTTAGAATGGTGAGTGGGTATAGTAGAGAAGGGACCTAAAGGCCTGGGACCTAAAGGATTAAAGCGAATGTACTGCTTTTTAAGAATGTAAGATATAAATTGTTACGTGAAGATATCTTAGTCGCACCTCTACTTTAAAGATTTCTCTTGGCATCCCTCTACTCAATAGACAGTAAATAGTTGATATATCTTTCAGGTGTGCTGTCATGGAGGGGAAAACAAAAATGATACTTACCAATAATTATAATTTCATTATATCGCCATTGCAGCACTTGCTAATTTCTCCCACACTATTTCAATTTGTGGGGTTTCCATATGTCACCCTCACATCCTTTGGTGGCATGTAAAGATTTCTGATACCCAGGAATGTGAGGAGGAATCAAATATGTAAACAGACTGCTCTTGTCCCTTTGCAGGTGGGTGGATCTCCTTTCAGGTGTGTGTCATAATGGAAATTAATATCTTCCCCAGCTCAGGTTTAAACAAAAAGTTAAAATAATGAATGCAGCTATGTAATCAGTAATTATTAACCAGTTGTGGACACATGCCCAAAAAGCAGCATGCCCAGCGCTTCTGCCTTGTTGCCACTCCCTGCCTCGCACTTGTCAGCATTTCCCTCTGTCAAAATGATCATCTTGACACAGTGTGTATCAACACTGTTCAGACACAAGCTAGATAGATGCAAAGCAACATTGTTACTTTTGTATCTACCTTGTTTAGTTCATCTGCAGATCAAAGTTATGAGCTTCAATAGGCATATTGTTAAAGCTGAAAAGTACAAACAAAATTACTTAACACTCCTTTATTTTTTCAAGATATGTTTTCTTCAGCCAAGATCCTTTATGCATTGCTGAGCCACAAGAGCTTATTTTGCATTTTTCCACATAGGTTGATCTTTGATGCTGCCTTGGAGACAGTACCTGGATGAAGATTTGGGGCTTGCCTGTAATATGACCCTTGGGCATTAGGTCCTGCTGTCCAGACATCTAGTGTACTGTGTTACTTATCTTTACAGGTACTAAACTATGTTGCTGGCCCCTGCATTGGCACTTTCTCCATAATAACTACTGTGTCTGTTTGCCCCAGGACACTCTTCCAGACAACAGTATGGCAAGTTTCAGAGGCTTTGCCCCTTATTTGTGAGGCTGGTGTGTGATAATATTTTCTTGCTCCTCCACCCATGGAGTCAGTGTATACAATTTTAGTGCTGCAACATTAAAAAAAATGTGTTGCAGACACTCTAAGGGGACAGCACTACATCACTAAAAGGCTTGCACGCACCGTGAATATGTTACTGCATTACACTAGTATGTCGAACACACCCACTAGTGGCTATTACTGCTCCCCTATGGCTGAGCCTAGCTTTCCTGCACTCTCAGGTAGATCACAGCTGCACAGCTTTGCAGTAAGGATCTCCATTCTCCTTGCCACGTTATGATAGTCACTCTGTCACAGCTGGCCACATAAACCTCCCTTACTTCAGCAGCTAGTGTGCGAGTACCAATTATTGGGCTTTGCCACACGTTATCATACTGGCAGTATGGCAGATCATAAGCCCATGGGGAGGAGTCCTGAAGGTATCACCAGACCTAACCGACCTCCACGATGCTGTTGTACAAGTCATTACTTAAGGGGTCATTTCCCTAGATCCAGAAAAGGAGAAATGTCAAGGTTTGTACGGAAACCTGTTTACCATACTCAAATAAAAAGGAACATTCCACTCATTTTGGATCTAAAGGTTTTCATTTAACTGCAAACATTCTGAATCCACCATGTCAGTCCTAGCTTTCTTCCATCAATAGGACTTTATGGCCTCTATTGACATCAATAATTCTTTCTTGCATATACCTATCTTTCATGCATATTAATTCCACCTGCATTTTGCTGTGTGCACACACCACTACCAGTTATTTGCACTTCCATTTGGCCTGTGCACTGCACCTTGAGTATGCATTAAGGTGCTAGCCCTTGTGCTTGCTCTTCTGCGTTCTCATGGCCCTTCTATTGTGGGATTGAAGGTCTGTTTAGGCCATATTGGCCAATGTATACCAGACTCTTCAGGGGTTCAGTTGGATCCTGAACCTTCAGAAATCAGCACTGGAACCAACTCATCGCTTGAAGTATCTAGGTTTTCTCTTAGGTATTACTCAGTTCAGAGGTTTTTTTTTCTGTGAGACAAACTCCTAAATCTCAGATTCTGTGTTTGGATTCCGCAGTCCAGGAGCTGTCCAGCTCTCCAGATTTACATGAGAGTTCTGGGTTTGAGCCTTCTTCATGGCAATCCAATATGCACAATTTTTTTCCAGAGCGTTGAAACCTAACATTCTGACTGTGGGACAAGAAGCCACATTCTCTGTACCCAAAGGTATTTAAGGACCTGTATCACAGGTAGGAAATGCCAGACGTGCACCTTCTGGCTTCCAGATTTAACAACAAGTCCAGGGATCCTCTAGCCATGGCAGTAGATGCTCTGGTGACTCTGTGGAATCAGTTCAGCCTGATCTATGCCTTCCCTCCTCTGAAACTGCTTCCTTATCTGTTCCATCATCAAGGTGGAGGGCATCCCCATAATTCTCATTGACCGTATTGACGTATGATGTATGTGGTACTTAGACCTCACTTGATTCTGTTATTGCTATGCTCTTCATGTTGGGAAATTCACCTCTCGCAAGGTCTAGCATCACACCTGGAAAGCATACTTCCCATGGGGCTAGGTGACGAATTTCGATCCCAGGAGGTATTTTGTGCATCCTGACCTTTCCCCAATTCAGTTTGGATTTGTTCTCGAGTACGATCAAAGGACAAATCTTAGCTGTAGCCATTCTTTTTCAAGGACCAATTATTCCTTGGTAAAGTCTTTTGTTCAGTGACTCCATGGGACGTCAACTTGGTTTTGTTGGCCCTTCAAAAATCACCCTTTGAACCTATCAGATATATTTCTCTGTCTGCACTCACCTACAAGTTTGTCCTCTTTATTGCTATCACCTCTGCAAGGTAAGTTTCTGAGTGGGTGACAGTTTCTTTGTCTTGACCCTTTGCCTTGAGGCCTAATGCCAGGGATGTCTAATTTGTATCGTATAACATGCAGTTCTTGATGGGTAGCTTTTTTCTACATTTTGCCCTGCTTTGGGCAAGCAGGGCTTAATGTACAGCGGGGAAGCCGCCGCTTGTTTAGTATAAGTGAACTTGGCGATGTTGCCGAGTTGACTTGTAATAAGCCTGCTGATGTGTAGCACAGTGCCGTGCTCAAAATCCTGTATTGGGGGAGACAGGTTCAATAAAGAGAACCGGTCACTTTCAAATGCTATCACACAAGGTATTGGTATCCCCTGTGTGTTAGCAATAAAGTTAAGTGGGAAAAAAAGTAAAAGATAAAATAAAAAGTAAAAAATTATAAAAAATAAATAATAATTAAAAAAATTAAAATTAAAAAGTGATAAAAAAGTAAAAAATAATAAATAAAACCAACCCTTCCACTCCCACCATCTGCATGCAAATAAATGCACACGTAGGGCATTGTGTGTGCAATAAGTGCTCCTTATTTAATAGCAATGAAGTGTACAAGAAAAAAAAAAGATTGTGCTTGATAGTAGGGAGTCTGCTTACAGGGCCCTGCTGCCGCTAATGTATGGCATATGTCATTGTTAAATACCAAGATTTGGGCTTGCTTTAAACCTGCACATGAAGTTGTGAATCCAGCATTGTCATTCAGCGGGTCGTTATACCAGTGGGTCAACATCATCAAGCGGTGCTCATAGTGATTGACATGGCTCTACATGACTGGACAACTTAATGTGTTGGGTTTACATTGTGGGACATTGTTTTTTATTTAATTATTTTTTATTTTATTATTTTATCTAATTCAACACTCCCCTTTAGATTTATCAAAACTATGTAATATGAGGAAAAATTTAAACGGTCCTATCCGGTTTAATTTGGCTGGATCAGAGATTTGGGCACTGTCCTCTCATGCCCAAGTGCTTGTTACTGGAGACCAGTCATGAAAGAAACATGGAGGCTGCCATTACTGATCCCTCCTTTAGAAAATGCTGTCCCTGTTGTTGCAATACTTCACTAGCTTGCAATAAGTATGCAGACTAGACATCTGACCTTGTGCGACTATTCTGATCATCATAGCGCATTCCAGGTAAATCACAAATCTTGAGACTGTAGGTTAGCTAGCAATCCCAGTATTTTAATGGGAGGTCAGCAATGGCAGCTGCTGTATTTCTTATGGCAGGTTTACTTTAAGTTAGTCTCTGGGTATGTTAATGTTGGTTTTCTCTTCAAATGTATATTTTTGGGTTAGTCACAAGTATTCGGTAAGACGTGATCTTTACTATGTATGCTGAGGCTAAGGAAAATCTGCCTCTGTATAAATATAGTTTGTGCTTTTGCTACACAGTTCTACTTACCTTGCAGTTTAAAGTAAGAAAAAAAAATATTTTCTGATTGGTTGCCAATTGGATACACATTTAAATAAGAGTAAATGCAATACACTTCTCATATTAGACATAACTGTTATATCTACAGTATACAGTTTACACTGTAACAGTGTAAAATGTGTATTGCCAGACTGTATAATGGGAAAAGGTTTAATTTATTAAAACTGCGTCCTTATATTCTGACTGCAAGCATATTTTTATCTGCCTTTGACTTTAACTGAAGCTCGATATGTGCACGTTTGTTATTGTTTGTAATGTTATCCCTTCTTTCCGTGTGTTTGCAGTAATGCTTTATGAAGTGATTGTATATTTAAACCCTCTTGTACTGGAAGGCAGGCAGCGTGTTATACTTTGAGGACCTCCCAGATAGATTAAACTCACTTCCAGAGCTGTATAGTTAATTTTTCCTTATCCTCAATTTAGATTATGACTGTTGAAATGGCAAAACAGTCCACAACAATTAAAGCCATGAAAAATGAAGTTCTGGAAAAGGAAGAACGGATACGGGAACTACAGGAAAGGTAGCGTTTAATTTATTTTTGAGTTACTGTGCAATTATCCATTGTGTTTGTCGCCACCTTGTGGCTTACTATTGATTTTTCCTATTTTTTTGAATTGTTCTCAGAGAATTTCCTGCCTACATATTTTTGGGTCAGGGAAGGAGGAGGTTTGAAGGTGCTAATTCTCTACATTTGTTTTTCGTTTCTCTGTTTTAAGTTTAATATCACAGATGGATTTTCTGCTTTCACAAGAAAGCTGGGAAGTGCAGCTGAAGGTCACAAATTGTGTGAACTCATAAATGATTTGATGGAGTAACCAAAGTTAGATTGAGACCCCAGAGTGGACTTAATCACCCTTGATGTAAATTCAAATCAGAGCGAGGTGCAGAGGAATCTTTCAGATACTGTAATTCTTTGCCTGGGGGCTGAGAGACATGTCAAGGTTTAGCTGCTTAAACTGGATTAAGCACCAAAGCTTATATGTATAATAAGTGCAAAAGGACAGTTTTGTTTGTTTAGACTTGGATTGATTGGAGTCTTTTTTAGAAAGAAGAATTCAAGAGCACTGTAATAGTTTACAAATTATAGCTTTCACCTTTTTTTTTTATTTCTTCCTATTATGGGACTTAAATGCAAATTGTTTCTACAGTCATGCTGAAAGAAAAGTTCTATTTTATTTTATAGAAGGTTTCATGCATTCCATTATCCTAATTGTAAATTACTAATTACATTTTTTTGTCCTGGTTTATGAATATCCCCCAGTGAATCCTGGATGAGGTCATCCGAAAAAATGGCCAAAGATTTTGAATACAAAAGATCATCTTTCCTTTAATTTAATAGTTCGTTATTGCTTTACTCACATTTCATTTCTGCTTGACTAACGAAGAAGTAAAGTAATTTACTTCAGCAATGCAGCGACAAGAGCGTGTTTTTTTTATACCTTTCTGGACAGTTTTTATTGTGCAGTAAGCATTGCATAGCTTTATAGCTTCTGTTATTGCTTTTTTGTGGTGGTAAACATGTGTACATAAGTTAGGAAACATAGATATGCCACTTTCAATTCTTTTTAAATCATATAGTGGATCTTAGCAAGTAAGCTTTTTGTGGGAGACAATGACTCAGTAGATCTGAAATAGCTGAATATTTGCTATTATAATTACTTAACCAACCTATGTGTTCATAAAAGTTATACGTTTGTGTATCTTTTTTAGTATTGCTGTTGGAAAAACTACACATGAATATGTGTAGTTGTGCATGCTAAAGTAACTACAATTGCGGTTATGCATAGAAATATCCAAATATTTCCTTCATGTAATTTATATTTTATTATAT